CGAACTTTTTATTTTTTTAACTGTTATTCTCCCAAACATTACAAAAATTTGAAATTTTGCATACATATTCTTGAGAAATTTAGTCACAATTTGATGAAATTTATTTGTGTTTTATTATGTACGTTTTTGCGTAATTAATTGTTTTGTAGTGACTGAAACTTTTGTCCAGGAAGTGTATGTTCAGTACGCCAGTTAACAATTGTCGCTTCTTAAAGTGAAGAAATTATACTTGCCGCCCATACTCAAATCTTTAAATCCCATCCCATCCTATCCAATTAATGTTGGTTGCCAAAACTATGTTGAAGAAGCAAAGGTCAAAACTAGAGATGGGCAAATAGCGTATAGTTGAACACTATACGACACTATACGACACTATACGTATAGTGCGTATAGTGCGTATAGTACGTATAGTACGTATAGTAGTTTTTGAAATTTGATTGGATGATTTTCAAAATGTAACACAAACTGAATTATAAATATATTTATATTAATATATATATATATACACACACCACGTATTAATCATTGATAAATAAACTACTGTTAAATTATTTGGCTATTACAATAAACATGAACATTGTAGCAATTAAATCTTTATTTAATTTATTCAGCTTACACTTTTTATATTAAAAGGGTTGATTTATATATTTAATTGAATCATTAATTATAATCATAAAAATCAAAACTGTTTTCAGATAATTCTGATTCCTCACTCAAATTGTCAGTTTCTTCAATAAAATTTTCATGTGTTTCATCAGCTTTTTCAATGGCATTTTCATCAATTTCTTCAATAATGTTTTCTTCCTTATCACTTTCATTTTCAATACAATATTGATTTACATTATTTTTTACACCTAATTCATCAATGCATTTTTTTTTAATTTTTTTTCTATTATCTGCAGGCATTTGTAACTTATAATTGCTATATATATAAACTAATTTGAAAACAGTTTGATTACTTAATCTGTTTCTTTTTTTGTCATGAATATGTGCAAATGCTGACCAGTTATGTTCAGATGCAGCAGATGATGTTGGTATGGTTAAAATACGTTGTGCAATTTGTGTCAATTCAGGTGCTGATTCTGCAAAGTTTGCAACCCACCAAGTAACAGGATCAACACTTTCTATAGTATTCCATGCTAAAATATTGTTAAAACAACCCGATTTTGCTCTATAATTCATAATCTGACTATAAATAATAATTGAATCTTCAGGAAAATATTTATTAATAAATTCTGAAATTTCATTTATTCCATCACCTGGTAATCTTCTTCCAAAATATCTTGGATCTAATAAATGAGCAACTAACATACATTTTTTCCCATCTTTCATCTATTAAAACATTAATATCTTCTTTCACAAATGAATTTTTTATTACTAATTAAGAATTAGTTTAAAGATTTAAATTTAAAATTTATAAACTAAATTTAAAAAAATACCTTCAGAGTTTTCCAATGATTCATACCATTCATAAAATTGTGAAAGCTTTGGCTCATCACTTTCAAAAATTATGATACCTTGTACTATTTCATCAAGTATATTCAAAAGCTCTGTAGTTTGTTCCCAAAAATCTTCACTTTGAATAATATTTTTAATCATTTCATCAATAAATATATCTGAGCCTCTTAGAATTTCAGTTAATGATAATTTAATAGCCAATTGATTTATTTTTAATGAGGACAAACAAGTTGCTACAGACCCCCACCTAGTTTTAACAGGAAGTTTTAATGTGCAATAATTTGCTCCATAAGTTGCTCGTTGATATTTTTTTAGGATTGCATTTGGAATAATGTGGTTTTTAAAATATTTAACAATAGATTTTGCATTAATAATTATATTTTTAGCCCATTCTAATTTTGAAACATTGCCTGCTAACAAATTTAATCCATGTGCTAAACAACCCATAAATAAAATTTTTGGATATTTTTCAGCAAGTATCTTCCATGTTAATTTCATTACTGGAGCATTGTCAGTTATAACTGCTGATAATTTTCTTTCATCAAGAGTAATTAATATTTCATCAATATTTGCAGCAATATTGTTAGCATTTTGTTTAGCTTCCCCAGTAAACTTGGCTGAAATAAATACTGGAGTTGGAGTAGTTAAAATAAAGTTAGTCCAATGTCCTTGGACAATACTTGTCCTAAAATAAATTAGATTTAAATTTTGGTAATGACAATATTAAAGCTCCGAACGGTTCGGTTCGGTTTACATTTTAATTTGAACCAAAAATTTCAGGTATCCCAAATTCGTTAACTATGCAAAAATAAACATGACATAATAACTTATAATGACTTGTG